ATAGTATACTTAACATCCACTTGCTTTAATAATACTCTTTGTAACCCATGCTAGCAAAAGGATTGTCATTTGCACTCACAGTGAATGTACATGTACATGAATTTTTCAAAAACATGTATTGATCTTTATTTGCAAGATGCTGTCATATATTAACCTGGATATAATACAATCTTGGTTATTTTGCACTGATCACCGTGCTATACATGAAAGGCGTGTGCCTGAAAACTTCCGTTGATGTTTCTCTCTCATTCTCTCTTGTTTGTGATTTTCTTGGATCCATTTTTCAGTCATTATAACTTATTCAAACCTCTTGGTACGGTCAGACATGATGTGTCGTGTGTTAAATGGTAGAAGTGATGCATACTATAGTATGAATGCATACACAACATCTGATATAGGGAGTTCATATATTTTTTCATTAATAAATTGCTTATGATGATAAAGAAGTAAATAATAACAACACCAGGTTAGTTTCTTTCATTTTTTTTTCAATTAAGCATTTTTTTTATTTTGTTGCAACATGCAGTTGGAGGGGATTCCAGTTAAACATGAGCAAGAGAAGGAGTAATGGTCAAGGACATCTTAAAAATTATGTTACCGGTTTTTATGAACCTGAGTTTGACTGTTGTTTGTTTTTAATGAAGTTTTTAGCCTCCCTCATAACTGATAATTGACAATGCAGTTGTAGAAAGTAAAGTATTACTGAAAATTGGTAAAACTAATTTTAAATATGTAATACTTAATGGTACTATTGCAGAGATTCCCTTCTCCCACCCAATTATGACATTTTGTGGTTTTGGTCTAAGTCAGAGGATTATATTGTGCATGTTGGATGTCTAAGGAATTAGATAGTATCCTCTGCTTTTCATTTGGGCCCTCCAGTTAATAATTATTTGAGAGAATATTAAGCTTGGCATTCAGGGTAGCAATACAGTAGTAGCAGGTAAGTATTGAATAATTAAAATTAGTTTTACTCAACCAAAATCTATATTTTAGGGTTTTGATACCATGCGAATCGGATTAAAAAATTGGTTATCCTATTTATGGAGCAACCCCATGTGTAGTTCAGAGGCGACCATAGAAAGGTTGGCCTTATAGAAGAGGGATAAAGTGGTAAAATTGTGGTGTTAGGAAAGGTGTCATTTCTTGAGAGGATGAACTACTGTAATTCACTGCAGGGCAATTTCTGAAAGAAATGGCATGTTAATGTGTTGTGTATTATTGATTATTGATGTATATTACAGTCATTAGGAAATCATGTTATACATAATGTGATGATGCATAAACTGAGGTCATTGGACTTTTTAAAAAGAGTAATTTTATTTTGTTAAAATTAACTTTGTGTTTATAGAATTTTGTCATTGTTTCCTTTTTCTTTGTTTTATATTCCCCAGTAAAGGATCTCTCAAGCATTATATCCAAATAAATTATCTTTGCTTTAGTTCCAGGCTCTGATGACAAGAAAATCATGAAATATCTAAACTCTATTTGCAGGACCAAACAGCTGAGTTGACTGAAGACACCAGACATTTGTTAGCATCATACAACTCAATCATATCCTTGAATGAGCAATTAACAAAAGTTTTAGGATCAAGCTGTACTTTGTTTTATGTGTACAGTAAGAGACTGTTAAATAAATTAGTTATCTGGACCAAGAAACTACATTTTAATTTAAATCATCGCGCATGTACTTTTAGGTGCCAGAAGCATATTTTGCACTGCTAGGATAAACTGATTGCCAGAAAGCATATTTTGCACTGCTAGGATAAACTGATTGCCAGAAAGCATATTTTGCATTGCTAGGATAAACTGACTGCCAGAAAACATATTTTGCACTGCTAGGATAAACTGATTGCCAGAAAGCATATTTTGCACTGCTAGGATAAACTGACTGCCAGAAAACATATTTTGTACTACTAGGATAAAGTGATTGCCAGAAACCATATTTTGCAATGTTAGGATAAACTGAACTTACGTAAATTGGGCATAATCTAATCTTTGGTTGGATGCTTTATGTAGGCACTGGGTATGTATTGTACAAAATATCCTTAATAATTTGAACTTTATTAGAAATTGAAATATTTTTTTCAATAAGATGTAAAAACATACCTCATGTACAGTTATTAGATTGATACCTAACTCTAAATGAGGATGTGTAACCTACATTCTGTGGGTGGGATCCAGACTGTTGCTTGGTTTTATCAGCTGATTTATATCAGAGGGTTTAGCTTTAAAAACTGTACATACCTTCTTAAAATCAATGCAGCTTGTCCTAAATTTCAATTATTTTGAAACTTTTCACACACATAAAAGTTACATGTTAAAACAGAAAGGTCTATTGATCTCTAGGATTGTAGTGATAAGACTGGAAAATTGTTAAAGCTACATTAAAAATCTAAATAACATGCACACTAATAGCCAGTTCATATTTTAAAGTATATTTTGATCATTGCAATTTTGTACTAGTCTTACTTGAGGTTCCATGCACGTCAGTTTCAAATTTTTGAAAAGATAAACATTTTGGACTTTATATGGAGTTTAATAGAGAGACAAATGGAATAAAAACTATTTGTTTTATTATCCCATCTCATACTTGAATTATTAAGCAGATGGCAGACAAGGGTTTGCTTTGTGGCATTAATTTTATAGACCTACATAAATGCTAATCATTTTATGTACAGAAGGCAAATATTCATGCCTAATTTGTCCTTGACTGTGGCTAGATCACAATATTATCCAAGCAGTTTGTCCAGTGGGATGAGATCCTGACAAAGCTCGAGCACGAGACCCAATCCAAAACACAGTTTGACTGAGAGAAATTATTTGTGATTGCATTCATTAGTGTCAATGTGCAATATATTTATCACATCATTTAGTTGTCTTTTATCTGCATTATTTACCTTTGTACAAATTGAATTGAGTATTTCATCGTCAAGAAGCTTTTTATTGAAAGATATGTTGTTTTTGTTGTTGTTGTAGGGTTTAACACCATTTTTCAGCAACAAGATAGACCATACATGGTGGCCAATATCATTGGTGGGAGAATAACCGGGGAAATTCCAGAAAGAACCACCAACCCATGAGAAGTTACTGGTAAGCTTTCTCACATACCATCTTTAAAATTTTGTTATTGCTACTGATTAAGAACAGAAAATCGCATCAAAGTTGGGCTTTCACAAACAGACTTCTTATGATGTCTAATTGGTCTTAAATGAAAATGGTGCCAATCTGACATCCAATATGACACCTTTTGCAGCCATCTTAAAATCTTGCCACTACTCCTCCTGGACAGATGTTGATATCAACATGTAATTTTCATGAGAAGACTGCTAAGGATGTCAAGTTGGTTCTAAATGAAATTGGTGCTGACTTGAAATCAAATACTGCCACCATCTTAAAAGTCTTGTTATTGCTGTAACAGAAAGTCATATCAACATAAGGGTTTTCAACACAAGACTTTTTATGATGCCTGGTCATATGGTTCTTCTTAACAGTTACTTTGCACAAGGTTTGATTTTTAAAGTAATTCCCATGTTTTCCTCATTAGTTATTCTGATTATTTAAAAAGTCATTGAATATCTATGGTATTAAAATAACTTGATTCCTTCTATTTTTTTGTTTGATTAATGCGTGTAATTTGGATTATATAGAGTATACAGCATGGCCTTACATCATATGTACACCTTTCAAAAGACTGCTAGCTCTGCTTGTACATTTTCACTAAATAGACTTCAGAGGTAGTTTGGAACAAAAGTCCTTGTACATCTTAGTTACTGTTAAAATAATTTTTAATTCCTTTTATTTTGCTTTATAATTGATAGGTGGTATTTGATTGATAGAGTATACAGCTCGGCATTACTTTTTATGTCTTGTTGGCCCTAAGATTCTGCTAACCGATTTCTTTCTTTGCTATTTCTTACTGCTCCAACCTCTATGTTACTGCCATCTTTAAAACCTTGTTATCACTACTCCATCTAGATGGATGGTCCTATCTACTGTAAGTTTAACCCAAATACATTTTATGATGTCTAGTTAGTCCTAAATGAAGATGGTGCCAGGTATATCAAGTATGGCTGCTGTGAACAGCCATCTTGAGAATCTTGTAATTGCTACTCCACCTGGATGTATAGTCATATTGACATGGGGTTTACATGATGCAATTTCTGATACCACTAGCTGGTCCTAAATGAAATTAGTGCCGATTACATCCAATATGGTTGCCAATGTGGCCAATTTGAAAATCTTGTTATTGTTCAATAATATACTAGATGGTTTCAACACTCAGCAGTTACAATGATGGAATGGTCTCATTTTGGGTTGTTGGAAATTTTTATAGCCAGTAGAACATGGTCCCAATGAGGGACTATGGTTAAGTCAAGTCATTATTGGAAACAGTTTTTGACCTCATAACCCCATATGCAAGTTACAAAAATTAAACTAGTGCTCAAATTTTAAAGTGTTTTTCTGCAACTTTGCTGGGAGTGAGAGTTAGAATTATGAATATCATTTGGTGCACATACATTTTTGGAGCAAAGGGCTTGATCATTGTCTCTTTTGGGAATGCTTTACATTTAATTAATTGAGAATAAATTGTACTTCTCCAGACATGACTGATTTGTTTTGAAAACTTTGTATTTTGTATTGTTTGATGCATATTTATAAATTGGTTGCAAAATCTCAATACAGGTAGTAACTAAAACTTCATGTACCATGCACTGGTAACTTTTTATAGTTATGAATGTATAGGTTTCTTGTTGGATAAACATTTAAATGATACTGTAAATGTCCATCTTATAAATAAATGATATGAGCTAGAATATATTTGGGTTAAAGTTGATGTTTTCTGATGATAAAGCTTTCTAACTTGATCTTTATAAAATTTTCAAAGATATTATTTTAAACGAGGTTACTATTGAAATCCCTTTCTGTTGTACTGTGCACACTTTTAATGTCCTACAACTCCAACACCATCTTAGACAGAGCTCCAATAAATCTTTACTGCTCCGGTAGCCTAGTGGTTAGAGTGACGGTCTCAGATGCAGGAGGTCATGGGTCTGAACCCCTGCTGAGTCATACCAATGACTTATAAAAATGGTACTAACAGCTGTCTCACTTGGTTCTCAGCATTAAGAGGTTAGTGTTAGGACTGGTTGGCCTGGTGTCAGGGTATTGTGACTGGGGACATAATGATACATGCCTCAGTGCTAGACATCACTATGAACTGTCACACTGCAGACAGCCATAGATGCCAACCATTATACTTTTGGCGTAATCATTATGCTTTTTTTCACTAAATTAAGCCTTGCGCGTAAATGAACTTGGATTCCTCTTTTTTAGTATATCCCCATCCCCCCCAAATTAATAATTTGTTTTCTCATTTTTATTAACATCCCACTAATCACACAAAACATATTCTAGAAAAGACAGTTTCTGAGCAACTATGACATAAAAGTACCCTTGTCTGTAGACTAGCGGTGACTTTCTTTAGTGTTATGTTCTATTTATAGCAGCTGCCCCATTTCCAAGATCTATGTTTCTATTTATAGCAGCTGTCTGGCTTAGGACATAACAGACTGGTTTTCTAATTTTTAATCTTTTGCTCATATATATATATATATATATATATATATATATATATATATATATATATATATATATATATATATATATATTGTTCTTTAAAATTATGTGAGGTACAGAACCATTCTATCGCGTATGTTACAGCAAAAATGTTTGTCAAATGATTTCACAGATGGATTAGAATGGAAAACAAATGGAAAAAGACAGATGAATACATGAATAACACAATACAGTGCCGTTTTAGTGAGCTTCATGCCCATTGCAGGCTGTGTGGAAAGGATTTTAATATTGGTCATAGTGTAATACAAAAACTCCTTGAATTAGCTCATTTTGCTAACTCCAATACTAAGGTAACTTTTCTACAGCATAACTAAATTGTGGAAACAAATTTTATAAATGCAGAGGCGTTGTTTACTGAGCTCTTAATAGAATACTGACTACAACTAGTGGTATAATACATCTATGGTCCTTTCTTCAAATGGATGCTTCCTGATGCCAAAACTGCAGAAAATATGCATGTGTTTTGTACATATGTGCATTGAATTTTATTGTTATATGTGAATTATGCTTTTTCTGCTCTGATTACGACTTTTGTCCACTTGGATTACGCTTTTTCTTTGCCAGGGGTTGGCGTATGCATAGCGCTATGACTGAAAATTTGTTAAAGCTATATTAAAAATCCAAAAACACACACACTCCAATAAATCTTTATCATAAAATTGCAATATGAATAAGTTATCAAAATTTGAGAAGGGTGAAGAGGGATTTAATTTTCAGAGAAAATGATGTCAGACAAGAATTGAAAATTTATTGCCAACTTTGCCCATCCTTCAGTCCTATTCCTTCTTGGTCACTAAAATTTCCAGAAAGGTGGTTGATCACGGCAACCTACCCTAGCAAAACCTTAGCAAGACAGTGAACATTTTCTGTAACTAAACTAATTTTCATCAAGCTTTAAATTTCATACAATGCTATTGTTAATGTAGAAAAATTTTCAGAATTGTGACCTGAGACTAATGCAGTGAAGGCAAAAATGTATAGTAGACTTTAATAACTCCAGTAGTTTCAGAAACTGCATTTCTAATCTGCATGGAACTCTTTTTGCTACATCTTTCAACTTTATATAACTTTCAATTTGTATTTTTTTATTAGTTTTTTCAATTTTAAGGGGCAACAGCTGTAAAATCACACCATTAGAGATTTGCACAAAGGAATATAACATAATGTCTAATAAATCCAATTGTTACCTGTCATGCTTATTTCCCCAAGAATCTGAATATTTCGTTTTATGCCTCTATGTGGACTTTTTAAGAGTCTTGTTCCTTTCATATTCACCATGTATTTATTGGATGCTATATCTAGAAAATGCTATAAGCATCAGCTTGATTGCATGTAGTAACTTTGCATGAAAAATATGGGTATTACTGTTAAGTCAGACAGGTTCTCTGACCAACTCCGTTGATCATCAACATAAGCTAGTTTTATGATTTTTTTTTAAAAAAAAATTTCTTTTGCATTAACACCTTTCCCTCACATTTAACACCAGAGTGTATCACATACACAGCAATCTCAAATTAGAAATTTCAAAGTTGTAGCAACAAAATAATGTTCATAACAAAAACAAATTATTGTAAAAATAATTTAATTTCTCAATGTATCTTTAATATAAATGTACATTATGAAAATTATTTGTTGGCAAATGTACATAATGTTAAATTTCATACTTAATCAAATAAATGAATTGTTACAAAAACTAAAACATGACAAGCATTCTCGTGGCATGAACTAAAACCATTTTTGCAGGATATTAATGAAACATGTTGACAGGACATTAATCTCAGACATGCTGACAATCTGGAATCATTGTTTTGATATGTTGTGTCCACGACTTACCTCTCTGTCAAACAAGTAGTAATATAAAGATTGTTTTCAAGAGTAGGTGACAAGCTTGTACAAATATTTCTTGCACACAGAAATAAACTTGTGTCAAAATCAATAATATGCAAATAAACAGTACCTTTCCAAGAATTTAATTAAAAGTTTTACTTTGGTACAAATTGTTTTGTATATGATATTTTGTGAAATAAAAGTTACATCTTATGTATTGTGATATGGTTCGCAGAATATATTAATTAAAGGTGTGCATATATAAAATTATGGCTGAGAAATAAATTGTATTTCAGGTGTTCAAATACCCACTGAAAGTCAAATATTTCTTGTGTTCATGCAGATTACATTTCATACATTTTGCTTTAGTTAAAAAGACAAAATGTATTCATTTAGGAAATATTTATAAACATGACCATAGGCAATGTTCCTGCAAATGTAACATTTTATGATTATACCAACTTAGTTTTCTACACATTTTCAAAGCATCATTTATTTGTTTAATTTTCATGAAATTTTCATACAAGAAAACAAAGATAATTGTTCTGAAAAAAACTATATCCTTTACAGACAACAAATTATGTGGACTAAAAATTGTGATGTATTTTAAATAGAGAAATATATTTTATTCAAGTTTTCACATTTAAGTCACAAGTGGTCTAACACTATTAGCAAATCATACATGGATGATGTCAGTGTCTGTTTTCTTTGTTATAACTTTGCCTGTTCTTGGAACAAGATGCCTAACTTCTGAGCTAGCATTATGTTTCCTTTCAGCTTCAGCAATCCTTTCATGAAAGCCTGAAAATGAGAAACAAATAAGTAAGACACAAAATGTAGGAAATTATTGCATCTTATGCTTAAAAGGGTACAAATTGTAGAGGACATTTATTAAAAAGTTTTGTTTCTCTGCAAATAATGACCCCAATCAAATTAACATCAGGAATTACTGTTTGCAGCTAATTCAGCTCTTATTGAACAAGAAAATGCCAATCTGTTTAAATGTATAAAGGGAAGTAACTCAACTTGTTCTGCTACATGGTCACCCATATCCCAGATTTTTACTTAAGTATGCTTGAGCATGCTATACAGTGTGTGGAAATATTGATAGTTTTGTGATTTGGCAAGTATTTTCTGAGAAACATAATTTACAAAGATTGCTTCCTCTGTCAAATGTATCTGCCAATTACACTACAATCAGAAGAATACACAAGAGGAGGATGAAATACTTAAGCACATGACCCTGTAGGAGTACTGAAAATATGAACTTCTAACAGCATAACCAAAGACTGTGTGTTTATACTCATGTGAGGGTAATTCCTGTTGGATCCCACACGTGGCTATTGCCATGCATACAAAAGTTTGCATGAAGGATGAACCTGGGAAACCCCATAACAACCATCAACCCATTGCAAGTTAATGGCAGCTTTCTAATATGCACTGGGCTGAGGTTGTGCTGTCATGAATGGGGCATAGTAACTGTCTGGGTAGTTACCTGTGGCCCAATGAGATTCTTCTTTATGAGGCCATGTTAAACAGAAGTTGGATAAAGCAGACTGCTGTGCCAGCCAAATAACTCCACTAGGTCTTGACCCGAGACTTACGTTTGAAGGCCATGCTTGTGGGAATAACTTGTTTTTTCTAAGATGAAATCTTCTAGTCATACCCAATCCTGTGAGAGTTCCAATTTGGCCACACTAATAACCCCATCTAGCATAAGAAGCCAGCACTTGTGCAATTGTGTCTTGCTTTCCTGCCATTATGGATATAATGAGCCTTTGACAAATTGTACATTCACCATGTGCCTTGAACAGAATCTAAGAGCATGTACTGGGTCTTGCAGCTTAAGGTCTTTCCACAGGTTGATCAAGTTGAGGGTGCATAGTAATCTGTTCATTGCTTATCAATGGTAACCTGTTCATAGAAATAAAACCAGGTTGTGTCATTTGATAACTGAGCCATCAGAATGGAGCTGCATCTAGTTCAGATCCAAGGACAGTAAATGCACTTCACTCACTATGCAAAATAAAGCTAGCCCTAACAAACACAGGGTTCCCACACTTAAAAAAATAACTTTCAGGTCTTTTTACTTAAAGAAACTGATGTTTGGATGTTTCACTTGGGTCCATGAGTACAGCCTTCTGTAAGATGGTGATGACACTTTGTTGTCACACCCATCAACACCATACAATGATTGGCTGCAGCTGTGATGGTGTACTGTGCATGATATATAACTTCCATGACCAGCAAAGTTTGAAGGTAATAACATACCCCTGACTTCAGTGGTACCAAGTCCATACACAGGAAGGGGATGAGGACTTGTTCCCAATAGGATGCCAAACTGGTTTAAACAAGTCCTAGCTTCCTCCAACTTGTTCATCAACAACCTCCAAGTTAAAACATGCATGAGCATATGGAATTCCAATGTAGCATGTGTGAACTTACTTGATGTAGCTCTTACAGAGTCTGAAGAAATCATTGCTTTGGCACTATTTTTTTCGCATCTTCATTGTGGATGAGATCAACATTTCACTGCATCCCCTAAAACACCACCAATTTCAAATTATATCAATGTATAACATTTTGTGTTAAGAAGATTTCATGCA